TTTTTTTCTTTTTTTTTTTTTAAACAAACATCCCTCCTGCCAGTGCTAGTGCTGCTGATATGAGCAGACACCACTAGCACCCAGGTGGAGGCTCCATCTATTGGTGGGGAGCATCACCTGCTGGAAACCAGGTCCAACGTCCCATATACATAATCGTCCACAAAGAAGAGGGAGATAAGGGCTCGTTAGACACTCCTCGGGGCGTCCTCGGGCTCCGAGGGGAAATCCTCGGGGCGGCCCGAGGATTTTCCCGCATTCGTTCCACTCGTCCCTCGGGACGAAGGACGGGGGGGCCCTGGGAGGATCTTCGGCCTGCAGACGACGCCACTGAAGACTACTTCCGCGACAAATTATGGAAGTCTCCACGTGTCTTCCGTGAGATCGTTGAGAACTTGACGCCGATTCTCGAGCGACGTGTGACGTTCTACAGAGAGCCTTTGCAGCCAGACCACATCGTCGCCTACGCGCTTTACAGATGGGCGTCTGGCGAGACATACGAGAGCAGGACCTGCAGCTTGGAATTGGCAGGGCTTCGGGTTTGGTGGCCGTCCGGGACGTCACAGCTGCGCTGCTTTCGGTGTACAGGGAGAAGGTGGCGTGGCCGACTGGGGTGCGGAAGGCGGTTGTTCTGCGTGCTTTTGCAGATAAGGGTTTCCCGAACTGTCATGGGTGCATCGATTGCACCCATATCTACATCGACAAGCCGGTGAAAGCGGCTCCAGAAGACTACTACGATCGCAAGAGACGATTCTTTGTCGTCGCTCAAGTTGTGGTGGATTTGGACTTGCGCGTCCTCGATGTGTTCGTGGGTTATCCGGGGAGCTGCCACGACGTCAGGGTCATCCATCTGTCCAGTCTTTGGTCGCGTGCGGCGGCGGGCGAGTTGTTCAAAGGGCCTCCTGTGTTGCTGCCGTTCCAAGTGCAGACCAATGGTTATCTGGTGGCCGACAATGGTTACCCGTCGAGCGAATGGATGGTTGTCCCCTATGGCGGCACGGCGTAGACTCCGTTCGAGGCCCGTTTCGACAACAAATAGAAGGCGGCGAGGGGGGCGGTGGAGAGGGCCTTCGGGAGACTGAAGGGAATGTGGCGGTTGTTCGTTGGGTCGCACAAGACAAACATGGAGACCTTGCCGCAGTAGTTCGTGGCCGTCTGCATCTTGCACAACATCCTAATCGACGCCGGGATCCCTTTCGATGAGAACTTGCTGTGGGAGGTGGACGCCAACGGAGTTCGCCGTCGAGTGGATCTTGGGATCCAGCGCCCCCCCAGGCCTTTGTGCATGGAAACTTCTATGGGGGAAGTGGTCATGCTGCGTGAAGCGCTGGCAGAGCGAATGATGCAGCGATGAGAGATGTCGGAGGCGCGGAGCGGAAGTAGATGTAAGTTGCATACGTGGAAGGACGTTTGACGGCGGCAGTAGAAGGAAGCAGCGTGCAGAGATACGAAGGAGACAGTAGATCGTGTGATGCCGTCGAAGTCATCGTTGTCATTGTCGGACGAAGACCGGAGAACATCTGTGTAGTCTAGTACTCCCCCTCCAGTGTGTCCTGCACATTCAGATAGTTGACGAGCGTTTTTTCTTTTTGTTTTGTTTCGATTCGTGCTTTTACATTGACGCGTTGATAGTGCTTTATCCCCAGTTTATTCGCAAACCATAGGGCGACAGATGTGGTGGTGGCGGCCGATCACTGTTGTCTGTGAACCGCATGGATGCGGGATTCGGGTCTGTGGTGTGCGACAAACGCTTGCATGTGTCCGGGTTCCTTTTCCCCGATTTTCGAAGCGCAATACTGTGCACAGTGTACTTTTTATTTGTTCACAAGGGTTTGATGATTATTGTTTTATGTTCGCCGAGTTTTATTGCTTGTCGTGGACTATTCTCTTCCCTTTCATGTGCCCTGCGTGCCGAGATGAGGGCGCACTTACGTGCACGATGATGTGAATGAGTGCAAGCCATTGATGATAGCATTCATTTGACTTCACATATGTCCATGGTCCAAATGTTGGAGTGCATATGTTTTGTTGCCAATTATTCGTCTTCATCTTCGTGAAAGTGTTGTGAATGGTTGAACGATGAGTGCGCGACAAAGAAGGTCACTGACTGAAAACGTCAATCTCTCACGCAGAATTCATTCACCTTATCACCCACAACTTTACATGGAAGCTTTGCAATTGGAAAGAACAAACATAAGAAAACACGTCTGCGATATAAAACGAACGTTCGCCATAGCACACGATATCAAATTAGCATCGATGATGCGCATAGACATGATGGACATTAATGACACCACACATTCGACGATGAGTGGCCCCTTGAATGAAAAGACGTGCATGTCGACTACACTTTGCTGTCAGCTAGATGAAACCGAGCTCTCACCCGTACGCGGCAACCGCTTTGACAACAGGAAACGACTCGACGCAAAGGAAGTAGAAGACAGTCTACGAAACTCGCGCAACCGCTATTCACACGCCATGCCAACTCCTGTCCCCAACATCGTCGACGACATCGTCGTCGTCGCCACCATCGTCGTCATCACCATCACCACCTTAGTCATCATCATCGTCGTCATCATCATCCTCTTTAATTGTGAACATCGTCATCATCATCATCATCGTCATCATCACCATCATCATCATCACCATCATCATCGTCACCGTCATCATCACGATCGTCAGCATCACGATCGTCAGCATCACGATCGTCAGCATCACGATCGTCAGCATCATCATGAACGTCGTCTACATCATCATCGTTGTCGTCACCGTCATCATCGTCGTCACCGTCATCATCATCGTCACCGTTATCATCATCATCATCAACGTCCTCATCGTCGACATCATCGTCGTCATCAGCAGCAGCGGCGGGCGGCTTCCCCATTTTTTCCGTAGTCGTCCACAGCGCCTGCCGTCACGATTCCCCGCCTTCGTCCTTCTCCTCGTCTTCATCATCAATCTCCGGAGGTCCGGTGCCTAACCAATCTAGTCGTCTGGCGAGCTCAGGAGACGTTAACGTGGCGTCATTGTGGAACGATACCCCACACGAAACCCAGTCGAGGATGTACACCGGAGGGTCGACCAACGTCATGGGGGGCTTCCCCATTTTCTCCGTTACTGCATTGACACACTGCAGAACATGTCGGCGCGCGTCGAACGAGCGATGCAGCGACGCAATGAGCGTCGGTTTCGCAATGAGCTCCACGAGATGGGACGCCTCATAATGCGAACGGAGATTATCTCCCGCCATCCGCACGATCCACATGGCGGCAGACAGCAAAAGGCGCATGCAGTCTGCTACGTTCCTCAGCCTCTCGTACGATATCCGCCCGCCGTCTACCCCCTCCCCCGTGTCAACAGCATTCGTGAAAGCTCCCACCAGACGCTGCGTTGTGGACTCCTGATACGATGCCATTTCGTCGTCCTCGTGCCTGTCGTGTATGACGCCACCTATGTACCAGATGGGGAACTTCATATGAAGCTCCAAGGTGTTATGGACGACCGTCGGACTCACACATACCCGCCAATCCTCTCCAAACCAGATGGCGCGGGTGAGGTCTGTGGCGACGTGGTTCAGCACATAGTCGTACGAGCAGTGGTACCCGCGCGCGCGATTGGGGGACTTGAAGATCCACCCATGGATGATGCGCAACGCTACAGTCTGCACCCTCGAAGCCCTCTCCTTCGCGGCCCCCAACTCCGACGAGTCTTCCAGCTTCTGCTGAGGGATCGTGGCGTTCGGGAGGACAACGCTTTTTCTGATCTCCGACGGTTTCACACCCTTCGCGACGGCAATGAGGTGCAGGCGCGTCTCATGGATGATCTTGAACATCCCATGCCCCTCCGTCTCGTTCCAGAAACGCAGATCGTCTACACACAGTTTCGCTTTCGCCTCCAGAGCCGCCATGTTTCCGGATCGCCTCTGCCTGTTAATGAGGGGATCGTCGTCATCAACATCATCACGACCGTCGCCACCGCCCCCCCCTTCGCCTGTCGTCGATGTACCAACGACGACTCCCACCGCTGCGGGTTCCTTTGCGGGAATGCGCGTCGCAAGCTGTCCCCTGACTGCCGCATTCACCCCCGCCCCTTCATCCCTTCTCGTCTATCCCGCCGTGGGCGTCGCTGGGTTTGAAGGCGCCCGCATTGGCGGATGTTTACCGACGTCCTGGGCGGCCTGCACGTCCTTCGACGGCACGACGCCGCACATGGCAGGGGTCGTCGGCTGGCCACGCTCCTCCCTGGCAGCAACACTGCCTCCCACGTCGCCGGCCGCCTCACCCTTGCCTCGCGCAACCCCGTGACCCCCATTTTACCACCGTCGACGCCTTCCTCTCCGCTCACCATTCTCGCGTTCGACACGTGACGCAAGGTCCCTTTCCTCCCATGAAACGTGTCCGCCTCCGATTCGAAATCGTCGTCCTGTCCGCTGCTGGCCTCGTCAAATACCCACTCTTCCCGCGCGGACCTCCCGATCACCAGAGCACCGCCGCTTGATGCCTTGGGCTTCTTCGCCTGATGCCTCCCCCGCTTCACGACGCCGACAACTTCCGTTTTCTGGGAGTCGCTCTCCCTTTTCCACTTGCCAGAGCTGCGAGTATTCGTCATCGCGGAGAAGACAGACAGCGATGACGAGAAGAAGGAAGAGCGAGAACGATGGCGGCGAGGGAAAGCCTGCGCAGGTGGAGTCCAAGCGTGAATACGACGTCTGGCGAAAACGGCGTCTGGCGAGAGAGATGGCGACGAGACACACAGTGTGCGAACAGGAGTCCCAGCGTGAAGATGGCGTTTGGCGAGAGCGATGGCGGCAAGACACACACTGCGCGAATAGGAGTCCCAACGTGGAGATGACGTCTGGCGAGATAGATGGCGGCGACACACACAGTGCGCGAACAAGAGTCCCAACGTCGAGATGACGTCTGGCAAGATAGATGGCGGCGAGACGAGCAGTGCGCGAACAGGAGCCCCAACGTGAAGATGACGTCTGGCGAGATAGATGGCGGCGAGACGAACAGTGCGCGAACAGGAGTCCCGACGTGAAGATGACGTCTGGCGAGAGAGATGGCGGCGAGACACACACTGCGCGAAAAGGAACGGTGTCGCGACGTGAAGATGACGTCGGGACTGCGCGATGGTGGCGACAAAGGCAGTGCGCGACGAGGAGTCCGAACGCGAAGATGTCGTCTGGCCACCGCCTGCGTGGACAGGTCATATCGTGTTCGTGGCAAATGTTCGTCACACGCCGGCGACAGTGCACAGGTTGGCTACAAGGGCGAACAAAATGGCTAGAGGGACCATTCCATTTGCAACCCCCTTTTCCGACACACGGACGGTGGGTATGCGGCATTCCGCCAATCAGACCCCCCCAAAAAAAACGAACACTGCATGTGTCGCCACGCGAAAAAAAAAAAAATATGCAGTGAAGGGACTGGCCGTGTCATAGGAGTCTGATACGCACGCCCGAAAAAAAAAAAAAAAAAAAAAACAGGAAAAAAAAAAAAAAAGGTAAAGGGAAGTCCAACATACAAATTGAATTTCAAACTTCGATACTTTTTCAAGGGAGATGTTGAATGGCGTGACATAAATACCAACACCGTTGATTAAGGAAGTGTTCATTCAATACGACACAATAAACGAAATACGTGGTGCCCAGAGACACGTGTTTACTGCAAGGTAAGCAAATATTATGCAGTGAAGAGAGCCAAGAAAACGTCCACATCATAACAGCCTACCATATTGCAAATCAAAGTTCTCTCTCTCTCTCTCTCTCTCTCTCTCTCTCTCTCTCTCTCTCTCTCTCTCTCTCTCTCTCTCT